GGCCGCCTCCCTTTCTTCCCTCCCAGCTCCAGCGCCACCTCAGCCTTTCAGGGTGCCCTGCAGGGCTTAGCGAGCGGAGCTAAGGAGCCCCTCTGTGTTCCCACCGCAGCCCGTCCAGGCCTCCCCCTCCTTATCGCCTGCCTCCTCCACTGAGTGATCAGCTGCCCCGGGAACCTCCACAGTCCTATTCCAATCTGCATCCTTGGGGTCAGTCCGGGTCCTAAATGAAGGAGGCGAGCGGGGCTGTCTGGCCTCTCCCTCCTCAAAGCACGGTCCACGCGCCCGAGTGCGGGAGGAACGCAAGCTCAATCACATGGAAAAGAGTTAGACACGCGGGATCTCGGCCCACCCGAGGCCTCTGGCTCGGAGTCTGCAAGGGGATCCCCAAGAGATTTGGGGGCACACTCCAGTTTGGGAAGCACTGCTCCAAAAACCCCTCCCTGCTCTGCTGTGTCCCTACCCCACACCCCACACCCTGCACTTCGAACATCAAAAGGTGTCTCGCATGCGGGCCTCCACAGGATTTGGGAAAACATAGCACACCATTAACCAAAGGACATGTGTCTTAGGAACCTTCCAGAAGCCCGCCGCTGACCCTCACGAGCAGGATGGGAAACATGCAGCCCCCAGGGTGATGCCTGGCGTGCACTACCCACTGGCCCCTGCGTCTTAGGGAAGCCCAGGTTGCTTTTGAAAATGTTGGTTTGCAACCAACACTGGTTTCCACCCTCCGTCCTGAGGATTTGGCTGCCCTCCTCCTCCCACCCCTCGGCCCCCACAAACGGGCGGCTGCACAGCTGCCAGCCCCCGACAGCAGAGACAAACAGCCCGGCGGCCCACCTGCCCCTCACGGCCCCGCGTCCGTGCTCAGAACGGCTCCTCCCTTGTCCTCGAGTCCCGACGGCCGCGCTGTGGGGACCGAAAAGGAGCCTTTCCAGAACACGTTTCCGGCTTTTTAATAAACCCTGCAATTCCTCTAATGGTTTCAGATGATCTTAAATATTTATAAAAATCACTCTCAGCAACACTTCATTAAACAAATCTCCTCGCCAACTTCGATTATTTATATATTTATGAACATAATGTCTCCTTCCCTTGGAGCAGATGGCAGCTAGTAAGTCTTTGAAAAGGCGGGGGGACGTCCATGGGAGCGCACATACACTCAAAGGCTCCCCAGGCCACTCTGCTTGACCAGCTCTGGCGCAAGGACCTTGCCAGTCCGGGAAGCGCCTGCCCTGCGACCAGCCACCAATGGACTTGGAAAAACGGAGGCTTGAACTTGAATCTGGGAAGAAGCTGCCAGCCAACGGCTCGACTCCTGCAGGAGCCCTGTCGGTGGCGGGACAGGACAATGGGGCTGGAATTGGGACAGAAAGAGCCCAGAGGGTAGGAGAAGAGTCCCAGACGAGCACAGGCTGTGGGCCGTGCACTGCGCTGGGAAGATCTCCATACGACCCCTGGGTTCATCCTCACAACAGCCTTGCGGGTGGTGATGCTTGTTCCCCATGTGAAAGATAAAGACGACCCCAAGAGAGGGCGTCCTGCCTAAGGTCACAGAGCCAGTGAGCAGCAGAACCAGGACGTCACCGGGGGGCCCGGCCCCCAAACCCATTCACATGTTGCCTCTAGAAACAGCAATAGAGGGAAATATAACTGCCCTTAACTTCATGCATCCTTGACAACAAACTTATCTTTCTTTCAACCTGCTGAGGCCGGTCACCCTGCCTGTTAAGACCGCCAGACCTAACTGCCCAGGTTGTGCAGAAGCGACAGAAATCTTGTCCATAGGAGAACCTGGGGGAGTCAAGTCTCGGCTGGAGGGAGTCCCTGTGAACGTTATGTGACTAGATGGAGTGAGTGTCACCGACGCGCGAAGAGCTGACCTTATGAAAGAGAGGGAAAAAGGCCCTTTGCCCTCAGAAATGGACAGAAAACAGGATCACAGTGATTCCTTCTTCCACAGGCCTTTATCCCATGTCCCCAGCAGAGAAGGAGAAGAAGAAAATCAGCTCTTCCCCCTCCCCCACTCCACTCACTTCACTTGAGAAGCTCCAGCTCCAGTTTACAAGAGGCAGCTCTGGCCTTTGAGCTGCCTATACTCCGGTTGAGAAACAGTGATCGTGGCTGTTGACGACCGTAATAGTCATCGATGAGGATCACCCTGTTTTATCGGGGCCTGGGCTAAGGGCTTCGTTCACCCTATCCCATGGAGCAGAACAACCCCATGATCCACGTCCCATCTCACGGTGAGAACACCGAGGCTGGCGTGGTGGAGAAACTCCAAGATGTGCCCGCGGTGATCGAGGGAAAGGAGGCGTGACCGTGGATCTCGTCCTGTGACTAGGAAGCCTGTGAGACACGCCTGGAGCGAGGTGGCGAGTATTTCGCCTGTTTACGGGTGAGGATAAAAAGGTCACGAGAGGCTGGTGGCCTCTCTGTGGCTTCATGGTTGGCCTTAAAATCTAAGTGCAACAATTTTAAATCTGACTCGTCACCGACACAACACTGCCTGCACAATGCTCGCTGGAAGATGGTGTCGCTGAAGATGCCCACGTCCCCGACCGCGAGGCCACAGGACGGCGGTGTCCTCAATCAGGGAGACGGTGGTAATGCCGAACGTGAGGCCACCCCCTCCTGGCTCCGGCATCCCTCAGGGGTCCCTCCTGTCACGGTCCCTGGATCCTGAGGTCAGAGCTGGCAGAGGCTGGGATTGCATGATGGGGAATCTAGACCCACTTGGGAGGAACTGCCAGAGAGCAATGTCAAGGTCACCTACAGGCCAGTGCACTGACGCTGACCTTGAGGCGGAGATAGAATGTACCTCCAGAGAGAGCAATAAGGAAACCGTCACTCTTTTGTTCATTCTGTCAAAAAACATACGCTGCATGTCCAGCATATGCCAGACAGCCTGCCAGGTGCCAGGGAAACACAAAGGCCACTCAACAGGAGCAAAGTCTACAGGAAGGAGCCTCGGGGAGGGCCCTGAACAGGCCACTTACTGGCTGAGGGTCAGGGGTCAAATCCTGCACTCTCTCGAAGTCTTGCTAGCTGAGAATAAGCTCACAACTCAGGTAGCCGTGGTCACGCCGCATCTTCAGAACGCAGCTGCCCAGGCTCACACTGAGTTGACCTGGCGGAGAGACACCTACTGTGGCCTCTCAAGATGCAAGTGGCACTCAGGCTCCCCTCCTGCCTCCAGAGGGGAAAAAACACAGCTGAGGACCCTAAAAGGGTGCACAGAAGCCTCTGGAAGCTGAGAGAGAATGGAAAAGGATGGCTGTCCGAGAAAAAGAAATTACTTGAAAATCTCCCCAAGTGAAGTGCAGAGAGCCATGCCGGGCCTCTACGAGAAGGCCCCTTCCAAGTGTCCTTGTGTTAGGAAGGCGCCCTAGCCTCTTGCAGCTCACACGCCCCGCCCCGCCCCTGGCAGAGAGACTAGCGACTAGCGAGGAGGATATAGAAAATGCAAATTACAACCTGGCTCCCCAGGAAGAAAACCCAGGCCGGCTGACCACTTCTGCACGCCTCACCAAGGGAGAAAACCCACCTCGCCCCAGCTTCCTCCACGTTTACAGGAACCCCCAGGCCTGGGAAATCGGCCCAGCTGTCAGCCCTGGCCGCCTGCCCCGGCCAGTCATCTGGCGGTGGCAATCAAAACGGTGCTTCCTTGTCATTTCCACAGAATGCGATCTTCCAAGAACGGGAGAAGCTCAAAGTCAGAGTTGAAGCTCCTTTTTGCAGGGAGTCAATATTTTCACACGACAATCCTCCTTGTGCGGGGAGGGGCGAGTACACAGAGTCCAGGTGGCAAACTGTGGCTCTCTGGGGATTGTGGGACGGTGACAGGGCTAGGAAGCCCCAAAAAACGTGGAACCACACCCACTCACCTCTCAAAATTCACATCCACTTACTCATTTCACAAATATCTATGGAGAACCTCCCTTGTGCCCCAAGCACCCCTTCTAGGCACTGGGGAGGCACAAATTAAAGGTGGTTGACAATGACACTTTCCATCACTGCGACGCTCCAGGCCAGGAAATCCAAGCTCACTTTCTCTAGGGTCAACTCCAAGCAGCCCATTTTACAGATGGGCACCTAAAACTCAGAGAGGGTCAGCGACTTGCCCAAGGTCACACAGCTTGTCCACAGCAGGACCAGGAATTTAACCATAGGTGCAAAGTCGACCTGACACTCCCCAGCCGAGCCTCTTTCCCGCTCAACCCCTCCCCCACTGGCTCCATTTCTTGCAACTGGGTGGGGATCAAAGACCGGCCCCCCAAGACTCCAGCACGGGAAGTCCTGGGTTCCTCTTTCCTCCCAGCCCCATCACAGGACACACGGGTTAGAGACCCAGGGTGTGCGTGTGCACAGCCTCAGGAGAGCCCTGCAGGATGCAAGGGCATCCACCGTTAACACTGAACTTCCACTTAAAAATAAAGATGATGAAAAGATAAAGGGTAAAGAGGAAGTGCTCCCTGAACATAGCCGGGTATTTACCCCAGGAGGAAGTCTTGGGGCCAATGGAGATTTTGTTCACCCCCTCTAGTTCCTCAATTCTAAGCGACTGGCCTTCCAAGCCCCCGATGGAAGTTTGCCGGGGGGGGGGCGGCTGACCTGCGCCCGGCGTCAGACCCTGCGCCCTCACCTGGCGTGCAGAGGGGGGTCTGGGAGGGGGAGACAGCCACCCGGAGCCCCCCTCCCTGCTGGCGCGGGACGCTGCTGCGCGCTCCCCGCTGCTGGGTGGACCCAGCGGCGGTCGCCTGGCGTGCGCCCCTCGCGTCCTCCCGCCCCAGCCCAGCCCCGGAGCATCCTCTGGGTGCCCCCTGCGGCGCCCCCTCTCCAGCTCATTGGCACACGACGCGGCCCGGCTCGTACCCCCACCTCTCCCCGCACCCATCACGCCCGCGCCCCGCACCCCGCGTCCTCGCCGGTGCCAATCGGCTCCAAGGGCGCGCGCGGGAGGCCCGGGCGGCGGCGCCGGCGGAGCCCCGAGCACATACCTGGCGGCCGGGCGAGCGGAGACGGGAGCGCGGCCGCGGGCGCTGGAGCGCAGGAGCCTGGGCTTCGGGTGCTGCTGCCGCCGTCGTTTCCGGGTTGGCGGGTCTCACGTCACCGCCACAGGTTTTCGAGCGGCCCCGCCGCGGCCACAGCAGCCCCAGCAGCGGCCCGGGCGAGTGCCAGGCGAGAAATCACTATAAAAGGAAGAGACGCCGCGAGGAGGAAGAGGAAACGCTGTTTACCTTCGCGAAGCCGAGCCGCCGGCTCTCGCACAAAAGGAGGACGCCCGCCGACGCGCCTCCCCCCGCGCCCGGTCCCCGCCGCCTCGGGCCCCGCGTCAGCGCGCGCGGCGCCCCGGGACCGCCCCGCGTCGGCCCCCACCCCAAAACCCTGCGGCGGGGTGCGTGGGAGGGGGTGACCCGGCTCGGATCGGCCTGTGAGCCCCAGAGCACAGGCGCTGTGGCCCAGGGCTGGGGTGACCTTGGGCAAGTCACGGCCGGCGAGCCAGCCGCAGCATTGGCTTCGCTGGGGGCCTCCTCGCCCTCCTGACGTGGAGGAGAAAACCCCAGCTCTGGGAGGCTCAGAGATGGCCCAAGGTCACAGCGTGTCGGGCAGGGCGCCAGCTCGAGCCGAAGTCCTGACCTCAGGGCCAGCCGTTCCTGCCCGTGGGTGCGGGATCCCCTCACCTGTGCGTTGGCACGGATGGTGATCCGTGCCCAGCCCACCTCGCAGCGGGGTCAGTGAGAGCACGTGCGTCCCAAACATTCATTGAGCCCTCAACAGACCTTCCCCAAGGGCCTACCGAGTTCCTAGCGGCGGTCCTAGGCCTTAGGGACCCGGGGAGAACCTAGACAAAGTCCCTGTCCGCGGGGCGGTGTGGGGCAGGTGAGAACAACAAAAGTACCTGCTGGTCTGGTGTTGGTGCCTAGTGCCGGGAGGAAAACTAGAGCTGGCTGGGGGAGAGCGTGGGGGGGTCGGGGGCGCGGGGGCTCTGTGCTGTCACCCTAGTGGCTCTCCAAGGACTCTAGTACAGAAACTCCCGGTCAATAAGCTCCTCGCTATCATGACAGCTTCCGGTATAATGGGGGGACCCGTCTTTCCCCTGGTCTGTAGTGGCAGAGAATGCGCTTTTCTCCGTGTAGCAGGGCCTGCCTAGGACACGGGGATTCTTCCCTCTGCCTCGCTCCCAAGTGTCAAGTCCATCCTATCAGTGTCTTGAAATTCAGCCCAATTCCTCAGGAATATAGACAATGTTCTTTGAAGTATCTCTCCAGGGCATCCAAAGAGTTACAGAAAAAGCTTTCACAGACTCTCCACCTTCCCCCTCCAGCTATTTTGGAGGTGTTGAGGGTCCCGTTGCACGGTTGGGGTGTAGGCAAATAACATGAGTGCTGACTTACCCGATAATGACTCATTCGGTTCTTTAACAAAGATATCCCAAGCCCTGTCTCTTGCCCAGGCCCCATGCTGGAGCTGAGGGCACTCTGATGGCTTCCAAGGCGCTCCTGGTCCTGAGGGACACCCGGGGGTGCCACGTGACTCTACTGGCAGGAAAGCCGGTAGAGGGGACAGAGTCGTGAAGGGTACCTGCAGAACTTGGAAGGGAAGGAAACGAAGAGCAAGCTCAGGAGCCAGAGATCAAAAAACCCTTCCTGGAGTTTTGAGAGTCAGCCAGGCAAAGCAGGGAATGGAGCAGCTGGTGGCCTGCTTGAGCGTCAGGGCTCTGGTCCCTCAATGAAGCGAGCTGGCACCTTCCTCGGCCTGGTGGTGTGACGAGGGTGCAACAGCAGCTACTGGGTCTTGAACCATGGACACGGGGAGAAGCAGGAAAAGGGTGCACCATCAGAGCTGAGCTGGGATTCTTTCTCAGCTGCTTAACGTGGACATCAATAATTCCAAACACTTTTGAAGTACCTACCAGGTGCCAAATGTTGCACCCATTTGCTTGAATTCTCACAGCAGCCCCGTGAAGCAGGTTCACCAAGCTCGCTGTTACGCAGGGTACTGCAGGGGGAATTTGCTCAAGGCCTCTGTAATCAGAGCGCGGTGGAGCTGGGCGTGAACCCCAGGTCGTCTGGCTCCCAAGCCCAGCCCTTGGCCATGCAGAGCCGCAGTTTGCTCCTCTGTGAAAAGGGATCGACAATGACGACTCCCTTCGGTTGTGGGGAGTTAAATGGAATGGCACATGTGTAGAGCCAGCACGTAAGCAGGACCCAGGAGCGAGCTATCACCATTGTTGTTATCACCACAATCCTTTTTAAAGGCACAGGGGGTAAGGAACTTGCTGGCATGCTGGGGAACTGCGAACAGCTGGGCGTGAGCGGAACAGAGCGTGAGTGCGGGGCTCAGGGAGCAGGGAGGACGAGGTGAAGGCGTGGGCAGGGGCTGGACTACGCCTGGCCGGAGCGCAGTGCCCCTCACTGAGCTCAGAGACCCTGAGACGGGCCCGGCTCCTAGGCACGTGTCTCCCCCCCACCCCCGACAGTCGGGCAGGGAGGAGGGCTCTCGCCTCTGATCTTGGCTCGTGCCATCAGGTGCTGAGAGGCTGGACAAAGCCAAGCAGAGGGAGGCCTGGGGCTGACGCCTGGGAAAACCTCTGGCGAGCCGCCAGCAACGGACCTACTCTGTTTCCCTGACAAAGGCAGGTGCAAGCCCAGTGTCTCCGACCGTTGGGGCCGCTATAACGAAGCACCGCTGACTGGGGGACATAAACAACAAGCGTTTATTTCTTATGGTTCTGGAGGCCTGCAGTCTGAGGTCAGGGTGTCGACGGGTTCGGTGTCTCCTGAGGACCCTCTTCCTGGCTCCTAGGACTGTGGGGCCTGCGGCCTCACGGGACAGCAGGGAGGGAGCTCTCAGGGGTCCTTATCAGAAGGGCACTGATCGCATTCCTGAAGGCTCTGCCCTCAGGACTTCCCGAAGGCGCCCCCCTCCTGTGATGTCACATGGAAGACTAGGTTTCGACGTGTGAATTGGGGGTCGGGGGCGCAAACATTCGGTCTGCCCTTGGGAAAGAGCCCCGGTTTTGGAGTCGGAAAGGCCAGGCTACAGTTTCAGGCTGTGGCTCCCTGGGCAAGTCATTTAACTTCTGACTCCTTCAATTTCCTCACCTGTAAAATGGGAATGATAATGTTATCTTCTGTTGATCAGACTACGAGAGATAATGAATTCTTTTCCATTGGTTTTCGGAGGGAGATTGGCCACCCTACCCATCCATGTATTCAGCTGTTGTCCTCTGCCTGGCCCTGACCCGGGATCAAACCCGCAACCTTGGCCCGTTGGGACAACGCTCTAACCAGCCAGGGCTGAGGTAATGAATTGTTAATGCTTTGTAAGCTGTAAAACAGCGTGCACATTTCAGTTTCAATCTTAGAATCCCTCTCTCCCTTAGCAATGCCGTCCACGCAGATTTTATGCCAAGTAGCTGGCCATTCCAGCATAAATGCAAAAGTGCCTCAAAATCTGCATGTCCCCACTGAGGTTTGCTGTAGGAGGGGGCACAGTCAGGAGACACAGGGATTCCGTTTTCGTCCTGCTGGTTAATATTTTGCAATTGAGCAGATTCCACACCCCCATGGGGATAAAAGCCGACTTAGTGACATTCTACTCACCAGGTTGTCAAGGTCCCCGCACCTCCAGCCATCCAATAGCAAGAGACTAAAGGGAGGAGGCTCCCAGCCGGAGCCCGCTGGCGGCTGCTGTCCTGGAATCGCAGGAGGCCACATGGCAGGGGCTGGTGGGTGCCTCAGGGAGCCCCTTCGGGGCGGGCAATCCCCCTGTGGAAGGTGGAAGGAGGTAGAACAGCGATCCCAGCCTGAGCCCAAAGAACCTGAGGCTTCAAAACCAGTGACTGTTGGCCTTTGGGGATTGGCAGTGGGGAGTGGGGGTGGGGGAGTTGGGAGGCAACTGCTTAATGGATATAAGGTTTCCTTTTGGGGTGACGAAAATATTCCAGACTAGACCAAGGTGGTGAATGGAGTGAATGCCAATGAACTGTTCACGGTCAAGTGGTGAGCCATAGCTATGAGAATTTCACCTGAATTTACAGACAAAGAAAGAAGGAAGAAAAGTTTGATGGTGCGGTGGGGGGAGACTAGTGAGCGGGACCTTTAGTTTATTTTCGGCATTTCAGTGAACCCACAATAGGGCTGTACAGATGAACCAAAACGGCAGAATCTTAGCAACTGGGTGCCGTCACTCCTTGCCTGCAGCAGTTTATATGGGTGATCCTTCAACAATGGAAAGTGAAAGGGATTAGTATTGAATACTGCAGTTTGGGTACTGTTATAACTTAATTGGTGTTTCTCATCAAAGAGGGGGGCTGTTATTGTTATTTTTGTTACACTGTGGCGCACACAGCCTTTCAGAACAGGGGCCCAGTGGGGAAATGAACCAAAGGAGTTCTTAGGAGTTCACTGTAGAGAGGACCCTGCAGACGCTGGGCCCGGGACCAGCCCAAACGACCTAGTATCTACAGGACGGGTTTCCCGCGTGCCTGGCACCCCATGCACAGTAGGTGATGTGATGAAGAGGAGGCACGGCGTGTCACAGTACGTTAGAAAGTGACGGTTAGCACTGAGAGCAAGAGGGCGACGTGAAAATGCACCCTGGGGTCATTTAGTTGGCGGTGGGGGGCAACCAGCCCTTCACACCCTACTAGGAGCGTAAGTCCTCAGGAAAAGCTGGGAAATGCAGTTTGTTTTATTTATTTTTTAAGGGTCCCCCCCCCCAGTTTTTAGAGAGAGGGGAACGGAGAAAGGAAGAGAGGGAGAGAAATATTGACATGTAAGAGAAACATTGATTGGTTGCCTGGCCCCCAACGATGGGGACCTGGCCCCCAACCCGGGCATGTGCCCCGACTACGAATTGAACCAGTGACCTTCGAGTTTGCAGGCCGGTGCTCAATCCACTGAGCCGCACCAGCCAAGGCGCAATTTGTTTTAGAGACATTGCTGCGACCCAGTTACTTACAGAGGATTTGCTGGGGAAGTGGGTCAACTTTCATTGTCCAAAAAACTCAGTAAAGTGGAGGGGTGATTTGGGATCCACGACATGTTCAGGGAGAAGTCAAATGGCCATAGGTGAGAAGGGACAGACATATCCCCCTCCGATGACACTGAAATAAAGCCATTCTCTAAATTTATACCCCGGTCCACAGGCATAGGCGTGTGTATGCTCACACCTTAGCAAATGCACACATACCCACGTGCGTACACACGGGAGGGGAGAGTGT